TCGCCACAAGTAAATTAATGGGATAAAAGAAATTTTAATTGACTATAAAACACCCCCGGGGCATTTCAGTAAACAAGGTAGCGTGCAGATGCCGTTGAACTTCGGATGGTACTGCTGTTAATTCCAAGATTTCTGGCACTCTTTTCTCGCTGGCAGCAGTTGTAATTCTGCACTAACTTCTCTTATCTCTAGTCTCAGCACAGCTCTCAACACTTCCCCTTTTGTTTCCTTTCTCTTTCCTGCTAAGTCGCATAAAGTTGCAGCAACATTTCTGTCTCCCCCCACCGGTCCATATTCTGCTAGGTTTTTTCTCTGTGAGCTTTCTTCTTCTTCTTCAAAATTCCAGTTCACATTGTGCATACTGTGTACTTTCTCTTCTTACTTTCCAGCGTTTCGTTGTTTCTGTTTGCAGATGTCAGATTCGGCGCCTTAGCTTTTCTGGATCGCCTGGTATGGCTCCTTTTGGTTACTATTTTTGCTTCTTCTTTGGTTGCCTTTTCTGGTTTTGATTTACGGTTCGGGTTTCACTGTGTTTGAATCTTGTTTATTTCCTAGCTTGATTCGTGGTTGCAGTTATTGTATTTTTGATTTCTTAAGTTGCAGGAAAGCAAGGTGTTTCTTGTTCTTGAGGTTCTTACTACAACCCTGGGGCAAAGATGTCGTCTGGTGGGGGCTCTAGCCAACCAACTGGACAGCCGCAGAGGCGGGTTTTGCGGAGGCAGATGGCAGGGAATCTTGGGGAGGCTGATTTTGATAGTGAGGTGGTTCCATCATCACTGAGTGAGATTGTTCCCATTCTCCGAGTTGCCAATGAGGTTGAATCTAGCAATGGAAGGGTGGCTTATCTTTGTAAGTTCGTGCCTTATCTTGGTTGATAATGTGGTTTTATATGAGTTTTTTTGGTCTGTCTGGGATTTTCCACAATGCTAAGGTTGTATTATGCTGTGCCAAGGGCTGTCTGAAGTGGTTAATACCTTCAGTCTTTAAGATGGAGATCTTATGTTTGAACCTTGAAAAGGATGGATGGGGAGGAATTAAGGGAAGGGGCAAAAACTTGATAACCGTGAAACATTCACTTAAAAATGTAAGGGGCACATTATCGAATAAGTAATAAAAAGTGAGTATAGTATTGCTTCCATGAGGATTAATGATAAAAAAAATTTAGTGAATACCTAAATTATGTTAGTGATAATTTTATCTAATCATAAAAAACTCTTGATGTAAAAGCATATTCCTTAAACTAAACTAAAAAAAAAAAAACTAATTCTTTAAAATGATTGTTTAATCTCTATAAAAAGTTCAAGGTTATGTCTACTTTTCTGCTCAATACATTCGCATTCAATTCACCCAAATCTTGGTCATTCTACTCTTTTCAATTATATTCAAGAATCCTTGAGTTTTTACTGATCCTCTTTTAAACGATAGTAAATTATCTCAACCAATCTACTTCTATATTTCTATATGTAGTACAGTGAATTGAAACTAAAATTTAAGTGCAGATTCTGCTCTCAAAAACACATTAATTTTAAGGGCTCGTTTGGTGGGATTACAGTTTTTAATAGAAGTGTTGTTAAAGAGAATTTGTAGTAGAAGTGTTGTTTTTGAGAAATTAGAAGTATTC